CCTCCCCCCGCCGTGAGATCGTTTGATTTAAACCACCTTCATCTGTAGGATCCTGAATTTCAACAGCTGAAATAAATTCAGCTGAATTTATTTGGCAGCGGTGTAGGAAGATTTGGCTTGAGACACCGAATACACCCCCCCAATCTGTGATCTCATCTTGGCTTTTCTCACTTTGCAGGTGATTTCCCTCGATCTCCGCTCGAATCTGGTGGAGGGGAAGAAGCTCAACGGGCACGAAGGTGACTCCAAAGATAAAAGTGAGGAAGAGGAGCTTCGTTACACCCATATTTTAAACAGGGTGCTCCCACCTGACATCCGAGCGCTGGCCTGGGCCCCCGTGGAACCCGATTTCAGCGCTCGCTTCAGTTGCCTCAAGAGAACTTATCGTTATTTCTTCCCCCGCGCCGATTTGGACGTGGCCCTCATGCAGGTGGCGGCGCAGAAATACGTGGGGACCCACGATTTCCGGAATTTGTGTAAAATGGATGTTGCCAACGGAGTGGTCAATTTCCAGAGAACCATTCTCAGCGCCGGAGTAACTTGGGTGGAAAAAGGAGGAGAAGGGGAGCGGCGGGATCCTTTCAGTCTGTGCCAGTTTGAAGTGACGGGACAAGCTTTCTTGTATCACCAAGTACGTTGTATGATGGCCATCCTCTTCCTCATCGGGCAGAAGATGGAGAGCCCGGAGATCATCGATGAACTGCTGGATGTGGAGAAAAATCCCCGAAAACCACAGTACAGGTAGGGAGAGCTCGGAAAAACCCGGCTGTGCGCAAAACGCTGCCGGAAAACTCTTCTCTTACAATATGGAAGTCTCAAAATACGGAAGCAAGCTCGTAAGGATCATAAGGATTTCATTTTTCTTCTCCTCAGACAAAGTTTGGATGGCTTTAGTCCTTGGTATTTGGTTAAAACGAATTCATTTTTTAAGGGAAAAAGGAATTTTGCAAAAATTTTGTAGAATTTTGCAAAAAATTGTAGAACTTTGTAGAATTTTGCAGAATTTTGCAAAAATTTTGTAGAATTTTGTAAGAATTTTGTAGAATTTTGCAAAAATTTTGTAGAATTTTGTAAAAATTCTGTAGAATTTTGCAAAAAATTTGTAGAATTTTTTAGAATTTTGTAAAAATTTTGTAGAATTTTGCAAAAAATCTGTAGAATTTTGAAAAAAATCTGTAGAATTTTGAAAAAACTCTGTAGAATTTTGCAAAAAATCTGTAGAATTTTGCAAAAAATTAGTAGAATTTTGAAAAAATTGAAAAAATTGTAGAATTTTGCAAAAAATTAGTAGAATTTTGCAAAAATATGTATAATTTTGCAAAAATTTTGTCAAATTTTGCAAAATTTTGTCAAATTTTGCAAAAATTTTGTAGAATTTTGCAAAAAATTAGTAGAATTTTGCAAAAATATGTATAATTTTGCAAAAATTTTGTCAAATTTTGCAAAATTTTGTAGAATTTTGCAAAAATTTTGTAGAATTTTGCAAAAAATTAGTAGAATTTTGAAAAAATTGAAAAAATTGTAGAATTTTGCAAAAAATTTGTAGAATTTTGCAAAAATATGTATAATTTTGCAAAAATTTTGTCAAATTTTGCAAAATTTTGTAGAATTTTGCAAAAATTTTGTAGAATTTTGCAAAAATTTTGTAAGATTCTGAAAAAATTTCGTAAAATTTCAAAAAATTTCATCCTTTTTTTTAGCAGAAAGGAAAGGCTGATGCGCTGTTTATCCTTTTTTTTAATATAACGCTTTCTTTCTCTCTCCTTTTCCCTTAGCATGGCAGTGGAGTTTCCCCTCGTCCTCTACGACTGCGAATTCGAAAACCTTCGATGGTTTTACGACCGAGAAGTGCAGGAATTTAACGTGACCCATCTCCAGCAACTCTGGGCCAACCACGCCGTTAAAACTCAAGTGCTACGGAACATGCTACGAGGGTTGGATGATGCTCCCGTGCCAGCTGGGAAAAGTAAGGGATGGTTTTGTGGGAATATTTTGGAGTTATGAAGGGATTAAAAAAAAAATTAATTAAAGAAAGGGGTAATTAGATTAAATTACTTTTTTCTTATTTTATCACAGGCTCGGGGAACAGCACGACAGTTCTCTGGGGTGATATGAAGCCTCCACTCTGCAACCAGATCAGTGGTTTCGTGGAAGGTGTCCAGGCTCGTACCTACAAACCTTTACTGTCCCGTCCCAAGTGTGAGGGGTTGGAAGCTCGAATCCAACATTTTGTGAGGAGGGGACGGATCGAAACCCCCCCAGGGTTGGAGGAAAAAGGGGACAGAGGGGAGCAGCCCCCTGAAATCAAGAGGAGCCACCGTCACGATGTCCTGGAACAGCCTCCCAAGCGGGTTTGTGTTGATATGGAGTGATGGGGAGGGGTCACCCCTCAGGGGGAGAAGGGAAATTGGGCGCTTTGCTATTTTTTTATTGAAAAAAACCCAACCCCCCCCTTTTTTTTAAATAAATGTTAAGAAATCTCATGGAGTGCTGTTGTATCTTGGTCTGGGAAGGGATGGGGGGTGTCTCAGCCTTCATCAGAGCCGCTCATTTCACTGTGGGGTGGGCCTGGGGTGGGGGGGGGCT